GGATTGATAGTAACATGGTTTCAAATTAGAAAAAAATTAATTGCTTTTGTGTTGCTGCTCCCTGCTGGTATGATTTATTTTAAATTGTGCTGAGCCCAGAGAGAAGGAGCTGTATTGTAATTCAGAAACTGATTTATGCTGTCTTGCCCACATCTCTCACAGATGCTCCGAGTTCAAAGAAAAGGATATTTTCATGGTCTGAAAGACATTGGATATTGCAACATTTATTTTATATGACATGGCAGGAATCAAGTTATCTACAAGTGAATTTATGAGCAACTGAAGTCTACCGCCTTTGAGTGCTGATGTGTTTTAGAAAATGTTTACTTTTTCTGGAATAAGATCTGTTTTATGTGCATTATACTCATTTCTTTGTTTTCCTAGATGTAGGATGATCAACCACCCTGGTTTGCCTTGGACTTGCCCTGTTTTAGCACTAACAGTCCTGTGTCCTGGGAAAGCACCTAGTCAGAGTAGACGGGGACCGTTGGTCACCCTACAGTTAGCTATGAACTTGATTTCACTGTTTTCTCATGATTATGTGTTGTTGGTATGAACCTAGTAATGTTGAGTGTTGTAATTCAATGATGCTCTCAGGATGATTGAGCATCGAGCAGCATATGCCCCAGATTATATAATGTTGGAATGTCTAGTCAGCTCTCCTCATCCAAGTGTGGAACTATCTGTAGTTCAATATTACTTCCAAGTGCATGGGGTTTGTAAGTTATTTTTACCTGTATTGCCCAGGGGCCTTACTGGTTTTCAGGACAGCCATCAGGATGATGGAGATCACTGCAGTTTTGCTTCTGGATAAGTGGGGTTATTGTTGTAAACATAAGTTAATGAGCAAAACTGACTCAAGGCAGGGACAATAATGACAATTTACTTTGAGTAATTTTATTTAGTGGGTAAGAAAACTTGTCTAAGGAAACTATGAAGTAAACATTTCACTCATAGCTTAGACCCTCTGGTGGAACAGATTGATTTAATCTCCAAATTTGAGCCCATGTATTCATTATCTTTACGATCTCAATTTAATCTGGAATATGATATTAAACCAGAGAAGATATAATTGTTTTATTTTTGCTTCTCCATGAAAAAGGATATGAACCTAGTCTTGAGGAAAAGGGAGGAGGACAAGTGGGTAGGCCCTAGACAGGTGAAAGGGGAATCATCTGGGGAGAATTCTGGCAGCATAGAAAATGTGAGGGGCATAGCTGGGCCGTAGCCTCATGGCTAATCACACAAGATGAGTACCTGAAGAATGAGAGCAAAGCTTGCTCCAGAGTTCCTCTTGCCCAGTGAAGTTCTTACTTACATAGAAAGGCCATGTTAGTGTCGTGTTCCATGGTCTGCCTTTTGTCAGAAATATGCCTGTCCTGCCTCTAGTCTGCCTATCTGTTATAGTCTCTTCAACTTATAGAAAGCCTTTTTTTTTTTTTTTACGTAAAAAATGCATTGAGCATTCTTAGTTTCCATTTAAATCCTAGTTTTGGCCTTTGTTGCCCTCATCCATTCCAGAATATTTTTTCTCAGATGAATTCACAAGGCATTTCTATCCATTTTATTTTGCATTTACTTTATATAAGGTACAATGCAAAATGTTGGAGGCGAGTAGTATGACAATTCTTTTTCTTATGCAGCGTCTAGTTTGGGAATGACATGTATAACTCAAATGTTGCCAGACATCACCAGCCTGTGCATACTCATGAAGTCACATTTATAGTAGCACCCAAATTTTGAAGACTTGGAACTCTACATTTGATCATTGGTTATCTCCTAGTGCTTCCGTAGCAGTTAAGTTCTCGGTAGGCAACAGATGGCACATTCAGGCTGAAAAATTAGTAAAGGGACTATTTCTGAGAGGTATGACCCAAGTTTAGAAAAAGCAATAAGGGATGGTGCAGTACATGCAAACTGGCAGCAGTAGGAGCTGTTACCCTTGGGCCTGAAGGGGCAAAGAGAGGAAGGGTTGCCAGATGCACCGAGAAAGAGACTGAGAGAGGAAGAGAGTGTGCTATATAGAAAGAGTCCCTTGTCAGAAGCTGTGATTAGTAGGAATGAAACTGGAGGAAAAATACCCTTATCACATCCTGCCCCTCTGCACCTCCCTCTGGGCTCCTGGTGCTGGGCTCCTGGTGCTGTCCTCCATTTGGAAACCAGCCAGAAGCCATTGGGCAAGAAAACCCACTGGTACAGTCTACACAGGTCACCCTTCCAGGGCACAGAGCAGAGTAGACAAGTGTGGAGAGTAGATTTGGAGCATCAAATAGAGGATGTCAAACACTGATTTCAGAGAGTTCCTTTGATGATGCTGGTCTTGCCCTTCCTCTTCCGTGATGGCTTCTTTTGTTTAAGATCCATGGCCTGCAAAGCTATCTAAAAGATTTTTACCAATGCTGCTGCTCATAGGGCCACTAATAGATAGACCATAGTCCTGGCCAGTAGTGCTCTCTTCCAGTGTACCTGTGCAAGTCTGAGTCTTACAAGAAGCAGATGCTAAGACAGGATCAAAAGTACAAGGATTTTATTGGGGGAAGTGCCTCAGAGAGAAAATAAGGATAAAGCTGGGAAGGCTGAGATAGCTGGTAGACTGCCCTTGAGTTAAGGTGAGAAGGATGGACACATCCCTGCCATGTAGTCCTAAGAAAGGTTCTTCAAGACTGTCAGGGAATCTTCAAGCATAGGCCACCATCAGAGGAGTATTGTGCCTTCTCCGAATGAACCTGCCTTATCTTTGCCATGTTCAGTTCTTGAATGAGAGCAGCCTGTGGAAGTGTGGCCTTGATCCAAATGTGATAATGAATTTAAGAGCACAGCAGCTAGGCCCTTGGTCAATTATTCTTCCCACAACTGGAGATTTGTGAGGTACATTCTAATAATAATACCACTCCCTTTCCTAATTTCCAAAGCTGCCAGTCCCCAAGAATTCAGAGTTGTGTTGTAATCCAAGGAAAGGAGATCAAAGAATGACCTTCTCCCTTGATCTCCTTAAGTTTGTGTAATAGGCCTGAGCAACAATTTTTATGTCAAGATTTCAAAAACTCTCATAGAAATAGCTTCCTGTGGAATAGTGTCAGTTTCTGGGGGTGGGCATGGCTACTTATTTTGGAATGGCAGGGGAATCATGATCAGGATGGCTTCTGAGGAGCATTTGTCTTTATCATTGAGTCAGAGACCTGAGCTCAAGACTTTATTTAGAATTTCTATATGAAAGGGACGTTGGAGTGTAATTAGATGGAAAGAGGGCGTGCTTGTATAAAGGTTGTGTTTGCATGGCAAACTTAGATATGTGCGTATATTTAGGGGATCTTGAGGTGGAAGAGACAGCTCAACAGAGGGGAGTACTTGAGATTCCCCAAGCTTCTGTGCAACATAGCCACTGTCTGTAGAGCCCTAGGATTTCTTTTAGGCCTTGGAGTGTGAAATGGCTCATTCTTCTTTATTTCTTGAACAGTAGAGCTTAATTGCCCATCAGGAAGTTCTTGGGCCCAGAAACTGAAGTCTTGTGTATCATCAGGATTCTTTATTCAAGAGTGGAGAGGTAACTCTACCCATAAGAAAATTTGGGTGCTTTTATGTAAAAGTTTTGATAGCTAGGATGCCAGAAAGAATTATAAATATCCACTATAAGCTATTTACCTATGGATAGATGGGGTTAATTTCTGGAAACCTCTTCCTAAAGCGGTGAGAAATAAAACATGAGTTAAGTCTTAATCAGGAGACTCGACTACAATATAGGTAACTAATATGACTACGATTCTGTCTCCCTTGCCAGGCAGCAAGCACTTTGAGGGCAGAAATTGTTATATTTTTTAAAAAACTAATTTTGAATCATCTAAGTGATTCATGAATATAATTTCCTTCAAAAAAAAATTACCAATAGTTTTGAAATCTCCTTTGATTATCTCTCCCAAACCTGGTCTTCCCCTCCTCCCCATTACCCATGTATCATGGTGGAGGGATCTAGAGTGGAAATTGTGGTTTAGTAGGCAGGCAGGATGTCAGGGCGATCTTATCTGCCCAATGTGGCTAGGTTCCCTCTCTCTACGCTAGTGGCTACAGTACTAGGAAAATCATTCTGCTTGTCACTGGTTGCCAAACACATTTGGTGTAAACTCTCATACTTTCTAGAGGATATTTCCATTACTCATATCAGAGTTGTGCTGTGTTTCCATAGATTAAACCTGGTCTTGCTGGGGAAGCTTCCTAGATCTACTGATGGTCCTTTGTGCTGAGACTCAGGACTATCAAATTCTACTGGAAAGGCTCCTCTCCAAAAGAAAGGGTGGAAAAAGGAGATGAGAATTTCTTCTGGTCATGAACCACTGGGCATGGACCGACACGGTCAGGAAGCTGGTAACATAAATTGGAGTGGGTGGTGGAACAGAGAAAAGTCAGCCATGGACCAGGTAAGAAGGTGGTGACTTGTTAGGCTCGTTGGTTCTCAGATTCTTTAGCAAGAAAGAGTCAAACCGATACCTGAGGCCCATGGTCTGGGTTCTACTAGAAGGTAACAGGTAGAAGTCCAGGACTTCCTCTTGGTCAAGAAAGGCCAGGAGTGAAGGAAGAAAGCAAAACGACAAAGAGGGCTAGGTTTTGGCCCTTTCTTAGACAGACTTTGAACAAGTAACTTTCTTTCTCTGCTTCATTAGACTCACACTCCTATGGTGACAAAGGCAGCCCATAGCAGGGCACTTCTGTCATTCCTCTTGATGAAAAGCCAGAGATGGTAGCCCTCTACTGGTCCTTTTTCCTGGGTCCTGTATTCAGTCACTGATTTACTGGTAAATTCTTTTAATCATTGAATGCTTGTTTGTTTTACTGTGTGGACTTTTACTTAAAATTCTTGTCTGGGGCACATGCAGTAAGTGGAGAAAAATGTAAGACAAAAAAATTTGGTCATTTAAGAGACCCTGAGGAAAAAGCCTAAATAGCTTGTGTTAATCATTAAACTTGCCCTGTGGTCTGCTCTGAACTTTTACTTCGGCACACGTTTGGCCAGGACACAAACAAGTTAGGTGAGTTACAGTGCAACATGAGTGGGTTACCTACACGGTAGCTGCAGGCTGGGCTCTAACCACATAACACGGCCATCGTTTCTTAGCGGAGAGGAATGAGATCATTTAGAAAGGAAAGATAATTTCTCCCTTGAGTCACAACGGGAAAGAAACAGAAAAGGTACTGTTTGATCAAAAATGTCTCTGTTTTCTATTTGGCATTGTATCTCTTGCCAATGTCGTGGTGAACCAAAGGACATGGGCATCTGTTAGTAGTAACCTTGCAGCTCTGTCTCTCAAGGTCCCAAAGGAAGAGAGGCAAAGAGGGGAGAGAGGAAAAGAGAATGAGAAGGAATGAGAGCACAGAGAGACAAGAGGAGAGAAAAGACTTGACCGAATGCACATAGCTCTTCTCTGAATGAAAATTTTCTGGTTAAAAGAATTAAGTAGAGGCTGAGTTTATTGTTAGAATTTATGCATTAATTATATTAAGAAAAAATACTTTTATTATTGATTTGATTGCTCTATTCTAGAGGAAAAGATGTAGGTTCTAAATCTAGACTTTAAGAAAATCACTGTGTGACTATTTACTTCTCTTGTTCTAAGCTTGGGGGTAAGCTCTGAAATGATGTGTTAAAATCACGCAGCCAGATTGAAAACAGATTCTCCTGAGCTGGGAATTTTCTGTTGGGTGTAATAAGCAAGTTAGATCCAGTGCTTTTAGACTAAGTAGCAAATATTCCTGGGCAACTTTCTCTATGAAGTAGATGTATTTTTGAAAATCGAATGTTTTTAAAATTAATTCTATTCCAAATAGATGTAAAAATTTAGGGAATTTTGCAACATAAAGGAACACTTGCTGAATCTACTTCGAAATTGTAGAACTCCTTTGGTAAATGCAAGTAGCCTCTACCCCTACCTCATCTGCTAGGGACTTGAGGGCAAGTCATAGCTTATTTGTCTCAGTTTTCCCAGCTCCTAGCTCAGTGCCAGCATATGTCACGCATATAATAAATGTTTGTGGATTTGAATTAAATATAGATTATTTTACATAATATTGGACTATCTTAATCAGGACATATCTATAAGATATGTTAATTCTAAGGGTTTTTTTTTTTGCAAATTTATATTTATATATTTATATTTTCTAAAATGGTATAACTATTTTTGCTAGTTTTGGTGTTTTCTTAAAAATGTAAGTTAAATGTATCTTTAGAAACTTTTAGAAAATTTTAGTCAGTAGTTTTCAGAGGACAATATTTATGCCCTCTGACTTGGGGGTCAGCAGCCTTTCTGGAGCAAGCATCAGGGTGTTGTTATCTAAAGCATATGGCTTTTCGGCCAGGCCTCCCTGATTCTGTCCATCCCATACATGTGCGAGTTATTTCTTTCACATCAGGTGAACCCAGATTATTTAGATATGTATTCACCAATTGGAATTTACTGAGTACGGTGTGAAACCTTTGCACTAAGAAAGTTCTGGACTTAAGAGACCTCTCTGAGGAATGAACAATCTAGAACAAGCATGTGTGGCACTGTACTATCTGGTCCTGGCTGCACAGGACATAAGCTAGAGGTTCATAGAGGAGAGTGTGATGAGAACTGAAATGCCTGGGTGTCGGGGGAGGTCATAGAGAGGGCGTGGCTTTGGCTGACTCGAGCTGGACCCGGAAATTGGAGGTTTCTCACCCCTCCCCTGTCCTTGGAATGTACTGTGGGCAGTTTGGCAGGCCACTGATGCCCAACTAGGGGCTGGAAGTCAAGTTAAAAATTGGAAGAAGAGCTGAGGTTAGAGACAGACTTGTAGTTGTTCACTGTTCTGCTAGCTTTGGGGCTTGCAGACAAGGTGTGAGAGCAGGATAATAAGTTGGAGACCTTAGTGTGCCATTTTGCAAAGCTAAGAGGACACAAACTGTGTTGAATTAAGGTCTGAGCGCTGTGACAAAGCCTGATTGAGACACTAAGAAGTAGAATCCCTGGAAAACTGAGGAGAACAAAGGAGAAGATGTTGTGATTGACAACGAAATGAACGAAAATTTTCATGCTGTTCGACTTCTAATACAAAGGAAAGCAAAAGCACAGTGACAACAACCCCAGCCAGGAGGGCAGCCCTGAATGCAGGAGATGTTCATGAGAGAATATATACCCACTGAGTTTATTGATATAGCTGCCAAGTTGTGACAAAAGGCCAAGGAGAGTATCCAGATGTGGTTAGGGTGGCTATGGGATGGAAGTTGGTGGTGGGGTGTGACAGTTTTGTGACCTGGCAGGAGGCCAAAAAAAAAAAAGAGCAACATCACCACACACCTTGCTGTCTGGCAGCGCTTGCATGGTGCTGGTTGGGAAGAAGGTAAGGTTCAAGGAACTCACTCCCTTATAGACTAGATTGTTTTAGCCTACGAAGAGGCTTGCCCCAATGAGGGGGATCTCCCTGGACACGTGGAACGCTGGAAATCTATAGAAGAGATACAACAAATTCTTAGGGAATTGGAAATGAGACAGGCATCTATGCCCCATCTTTAAAAGGCCCAGATCAGGCCATATTGACTGCAGGAATGAAAGCCAAGATAGCTCTCAGCACCTGATATGGAGCACTGATGTTCATGCTGAGCCCAGTCGTGGGACAAGACATTTATACCGCAGGGCAGTCCATTGCTGATCTTGGAGAAATTGACAAATCTTGGGAATGGGCACAGGCTATGGGAAAACCCGAGACAGAGAGGAAACTTGAAAAGCCAAAAGACTATCCAAATTGGTTGTAAAGAGTTCAATAGAAGTAACCCTGAAGTAAATGTGGTTTGAGCTCCTTGCTGCCAGGACCCCACCTGAAAAGCTAGACCAGCAACCGAATGCTTTGTTAGCTGGCCTGCAGAAAGCCTTAAAACCTGAACAACAGTTCAGACTTGCCACACCTGCCCCTACCATCTCTGATGCTCTGTCTGTTCCAGCAGAGGCCTCAAGGATACAGTCCCATTGGGGTGGGTGCCCCCCATGCCATGGATATAGGGTGCAGTCCAAAATTGCCTCTAGGCTATGAGAAATGGTTAAAAGTCTCATGTTGAGTTCACTCTTCACTGGTCCCCCAGAAATAAACAAAAGGTGACAGCTCTGGTTGATACTAGAGCTGAATGTACTCTAATACATGAGAATCCTCAGAATTATTTTAACCCCCTCAGCACCATTGATGGTTGCAGAAGACAGATAGTTATGGTAAGAAAGGTCCCTTTGACATTGCAAATTGAGTGTTCTTCCTCCACGAATATGAAAATTTTTTATCTTTTCAATACCAGAGAGCATACAGGGCATTGATATCCTACAAGGTTAAACTTTGCAAACCTCTATCTGTGAATTCCACCTCCAGATTCGAGTAATCAAAACAAGGCTGAGGGGAAACACTAACTGAGAACCAGTAAGTCTACTACCCCTTGAAGGAATAGTAACTGTCAAACAATATAAACTATTGGCAGGGAGGGTCATGAAAAATAAGAAAAACTATCCAAGAACCGTGCTGATTGAGTATCGCATCCCTTGCTCATAGTGCTTTCAGCAGCTTGGTATGGCCAGTAAAAAAGCCAGATGGCTCATGGAGGATGATCATGGGTTCCCGAGAATTAAATAAAGGTAGCGCCCCCCATCCATGCAGCTATGCCCAACATTGCCACCATCTTAGATACCTCGGCTGCGATCCTAGGATTGTCCTATGCTCTACTGGACTTAGCAAAATTTTTTTCAGTATACCCCTGGCTTCTGAGCCACAGGATCAATTTCCCTTCCCTTGGGAGGGACAACAATGGACATTTCGAGTGCTTCTCCAAGGCTACCAACACATGTCCACAATGTGTCATGGGATGGTAACCTGAGATCTGCTTCTGTTTTCCTTCCCTTCATCCATAAAATGGGCCCATTACATTGATGATGTAATGTTAACATGTGAAGACTTGCCTCTACTGCAGGGCACTCTGCAGACTTTGCTGGAACATCTGCAAGAGACAGGATGGACAATGAACCTACAGAAAATTCAAGGCCTGTGGCATTGCCATAAAGTTCTGGGGAGTTGTTAGGTTGGGAAAACAGTTCGGCTGCAGTGCAGGATTCATATTGAAGAGCAACGTGAGGAAAAATTGGAAAGATAGGGGATCGAGATCGTTGCAAGACTGAAGAGTCAGAGAGAGGGCATTCCATTGGAAATATGGAGACCGTGATAGGAAAACTAACATTTATAGGGTGTCTCCTTTGTGCCAGGCTCTGTGTGTTAATTTCTTTATACATATCACCTCAGTTAATCTTGATGAGAATCCTAAGAAGTATTTTCTATCATCGTTTTACAATGATGGAAGTTTTGCATTGAATTAAAGCTTAAGCAGAAGAACAGCACAATGAAGGCAGTGTTTAAGGAAGATAGGTCTGGCAGACTGGGCGTTGTGGAATAGGATAGGGAGATTCTGGGGTTGTAGTGTCCAGTTTGAAGAGTCTAGCTTTTTCTTCCTTTGCTTCTTTCCTCCCTTTCTCCTCTGCTGTGAGAATAAGACAATTTTCTCCAAATTCTCGTCAGTACCAGTTTTTTCAATCCATTACCACACTTAACATTTGCTTCATTAAGCTGTTTACTTTTTTGTGTTGATTGGTTCCTGGAGGACTGAGACTCTTTAAGAAAGAAAGAAAAAAAACAATTACTCCATTTCCCTCTCTCCAAACCACCATTAACCAGTACTTATTTATTTTATATCTATATATATTAGATATCTAGAACTTATTTATTTATTTTTCAATTACAGTTGATATTAAAATTTATATTAGTTTCAGGTATACAACAGTAATTAGACATTTATATACCTTATGAAGTGATTGTTTTTATACATCTAGTACCCATCTATACCATACACAGTTATTATGATATTATTGACTATATTTCTTATGCTATAATATAT